CCCCCCCCCCCCGCCCCAATCCTGCGGGGTGAAGCCCGGGGTGGCGGGAAAGCACGGCGTAGGCGCTGGAGGGGGAAAGGCAGCCGCAAGCCTGCCCTGGCCTTCAGAAGTGACCTGACGCCAGGAAGGAGGCTGATTAACCCTTGGGCTCCCCCTCCCTCTCCGGGGGGTGCGAGCCAGCTCCTCCTCCTCCTCCTCCTCCTCGCGGTCGAGCGACCCTGGAGCGAGATGCACACAGCCGCCGGCTCTGCGCGCCCTGCCCTTCCCTCCCAGCCCAGGAAGAGGAGAGCGGCGAGGGCGCAGCCCAAAGTCGAGTCCGGTGAGTCTGTGGATCCGGAGTGAACGGCCCCGGGCGAGCCGGCTTAGGCCCCGCGACCCTCGCGCCGGTCGTGCACCGCAGACGACCCCTCCGCCCGCCCCTCCGCGGAATTTGCACCCGGCACCCGGCTCCTGGCCTGACCCCAGGCCCCGCGACGCCCCCAGCCCCGTGCCTCGCGCAGGTGGCGCAGACGCCCCTGTTCTCCGGCGCCCCCTGCCGGGGAGAGGGAAGGCGGCGGCCGCGGACGAGCCGGGCGCAGGCAGGGAGAGAGCTCCGGCGCCGCCGGGAAGAGGCCGGGAGCTTCCCTGATGGTGCCGCCGCCTCCGAGTCGGGGAGGAGTGGCGAGGGGGCAGCTGGGCAGGAGCCTGGGTCCGCTGCTGCTGCTCCTGGCGCTGGGACACACGTGGAGCTACCGAGAGGAACCCGAGGACGGTGACAGGTAAGCGCTGCCAGCCCCGGCTTGGTGGGCGCCCGGCTCTCGGGGTGCGGGCGGTACCCCCGGTTCCTCCAGGCACCCGCATGCCCTCGCTCCGCCGGCTGGGTGCTCGGCTCTCCAGGCGGCATAAAACTCGGCTCCCCGCCCGGGGTCCCTCATCAGTGTGTCGGTGTTCCCTGTTACCGCCGTCCTGGGGGCTCGGTTCGCGCGCGGGGACCCCCCCCCCCCCCCCCCGCCAGGCCCAGCCCCAGCCCCAGCCCCTGAGGCCACTGCGCGTCCGCGCTCCGGGACGCCGCTGCCTGCCACCCTCGCGCACCCTGCCCCTCCCCTCCCGTGGCCAGCAAGCGAAGTTGCTCCTCGACCTTTTCTGCTTAGGGAGATCTGCTCGGAAAACAAGATCGCCACGACGAAATACCCGTGTCTGAAGTCTTCGGGTGAGCTCACCACGTGTTTCAGGTAAGCCCTGGGGCTTTGCCGAGTCCGCCAGGGCGCACCCTGCCTGGCTGCTTGGAAAGGCGGCTCCGCAGAGGAGGGGTTTGCAGGCGCGCTCGCTTTGCGCCGGGACGTGCTCGGGGAGTTCTTGGGTACAACCCTTCCGGTGTGGTTTTGGGGCTAAAGCAATGACGGGCGACCGAGTGTGAACCTGGAGCTTGCACCTAAGTGCACCTGAGACCCCGAGCGGCTTACCGCTTCCCGGAATACCTTGCGTGGTAGCCATCTGAGAAGAGGAGGCGAGGCTGGAAGCTTCTAAGGAAAGGGGATCGGACCGTGGGTATCAAACCGTGCGCCACAGCTAACACGGCTGGCGGCGTTTGCGTTTTGGTTAGAAACGTTGACCATTACCGGGGCCTTGTGACACTGTCACGGTCTCTGGGCAAAAGGGTGGGGGAGGTTTGCGGGCTGTGGACGTAGTTGTGTTGAGCGAAAACAACGTCGAGATTGAGCCACAAGGAGAGGACTTCCTGAATCCGCAGTCCACAGATGACCTGGATGCCTGTTAAAATTACCCCTGGTTCGGGGGTCTATAAACTGGGAAGTACTTCCCAGGTGGTTCTCAGTAACAAAAGGAGAGAATCCCTATTCCCTGCTTGCTATCTCAGAGGTGAGGGTCCGTTTGTTTTCACCTTCGAGTTCCTGGCTTGTTTCCGTGCTTTGCCTGGATGGAAACACGTACCCATGAACGCAAGTTGCCTTTTAAAGGTACTGTGCGAGATGGGAATCTCACATCCGCGCCACACTGTCTTCAGGGGGGTGGTCCTACACTCTGGGGTGCCAGGATAAATCCTACAAGATAATCTGGAAGTCCCCACAAGTGAATTTGGAAGAAAGCCTTACTCTTGGGTTCATCTGTTACAGCATTACCATGTTTTCAGCTGTAGAAACCTTATTTCACACGCTCAAAAGCTTGCGTGGGTTTCCAGGGCTGGCAAGTTAAACGATCTAAAAGCTGGTAATCAGTTACATTATGTACCGCGCTCTAAAATCTGCCACTGGCAGTGGACTATCATTTAAGCGAGTCCATACTCCTTGGGCTTGGGAAGGGTGGTCTCCAGGACGTGAGTAGTCAACACTGAACACGTGGGGTTGGGGGGGACGGGTGAGTCCGTTCAGTTCGCAGGTGTAAAGGCTAGAAGAGGTTAACTGTAAGCAAGGTCACCCAGTTGGTGACATGAGAGGGTGTGGGCACGGGGATCGCTGTGTCCTCCGTGACCGCAGTACTAGGACACGTGGTTTTCCTATCAATACAGCACGAAGCCTCTAACTTAACGAGGAAAGTGTCCCTGACATGGTTTACTCATTTGTTCAGTCCCTGAAGGTCAGACTGCACATAAAGCAGTGGCCTTTGCAGAATGCATGTCTAATTTTCAGAAACCACTGGTGCCCTGATAGGTGTCTTAAGTTGACTTCATGACGCTGTTACCGTCATTTTCCCCAGATGTTTAAAAACCGTGGCTTTTTTCTACACAAACTCGAGACCCTATCCATGTCTTGACAAGCTGTTCCTTTGGATAGCTGTTAAAACACTCGAGGGTTAACAAATCATCTTTTCTATCACAATAAAAGGAGCTTTGTTCTGGAGGGGGGTGGTGAGTGGAATGGGGAGGGAGGGGGTTTTTAGTGGGGAAAGTGGGGTTAATGGTCTCCGTGCCTGTTTTCTGGTTTTATGGAATTCGAGAGTTTTGTGTATACTGCATTAGTTTTGGACTAGGAAATCGCGAAGTCAGGGGAGTAAAGTCCAAGGTTGGCAACTGCTGCCCCGGTTTGCTTTTGAACCCCACGGATGCAGGAGTACTGTGCTTGGGTTGTGAATTGATGGGCTGAGCCCCGTAGACCCTTGCTACTCCAAGGGATCTGCAGACCAGCATCCTCTAGGAGCTTGTTAGTCTCGAGGCCTGCCCCTGACCTCCCAAATCAGAGCCTGTTAGTGCAATATACGTTAAAGGTTAAGCCCTTCTAGAGGAACCACGGTCTTCAACCTGGTCGCTGCAAACCCACTTAGACCGAGCCTTCGAGAAGCACAGAGGCTTCTGCAGGTGCCCACCGTGGTTAGTGCGGTAGGAGGGACAAACACTGAAAGGACCATCCTTCCGGGAAACCAGACTCTTCACATCTTGGCCGACCCTGGATTAAGCTTAAGTACAGTATTGGAGATGCCTCTTAGGGAATGCAGATGGATGGTCCCCACTCGTTACCACTTGTCCTAACAGTTTTTAGCACTGGTGAACTGTAGAAGTCCCTGCTGAACTTGTTAAATGACTTTATGTGACTTCGTCGAGGGAGAGGAATGAAGGATTTTACTCCCTTCTGTCATCTTCATTTTAGTATTGGTTGGATCAGTTAGTCCTAGAAGTCTATGGAACCCTGAATGATGTAGAGAATGAAAGATGGGTTCAGACTGTTGATTCTGGACCCCTTTCCTGCCACCTGTGCCCACTTGGGTTACACAGTTTCATCTCAGCAGTACTTTTCCACATTAGCCTTCTGTTAAATGACAACCTTGAGGACTTTGTACTCAGCCCTGTTCCATGCATGTCACATGCACATCTAATCCACCGGGCCGCCTGCATTGGTGGCTCAGTTTTACAGGGGGAGGAACCAAGCCTCCAGGATTAAGTAAACACGGTTGGGGTCGCAAAGTTAATACACGTGGGAGCCGAGATCCAAACCCAGGCTTGTCTGACTTCAAAGTCTGGGCCCAGGCCCTTTCATCATGCCGGGCGTATCTTACAGAGGAGGCAGAATTTTCTGGGATCTAAGACTATAAATTCAGGTGGCTGTGCATTCAGAAGACCCTGATAGAAGACCCTGATAGAAGACCCCCTCACCATGGCTCGTTTTTGAATTAGCCCTGCCTTTGAGATTGGTCTTAGACAATGGACTTCATACGACCTTGTCCTACCCAAAATTGGTTCATATGTGTACAGCTTTCCTTCCTTGAAGGATTTCCTCTTAACCACAGGGTCTGTCTGTGGAGACTCCACCCCAATGTGCATTGTGCCCAGTGCCCCCAAGTTCAAACACTCGAGTGAATGCTGGTAACTGCTTCATGTATGATCTCTTCCCTCAGACTGTTTAGCAAAACCAAGCGCATGCTTTTATCATGGTGTTACCCTCCTGTGGCTGTTAAAGGTTTTCCCACAAGTTGACTTTCCCAACCACGTAGCTTTGAACAAAATGGTTGCCTTTTGTTTGTTGGGTCTGTCCATAAAAATGACAAGTTAAAGTCTCCTGGAAGATAATCCGTGGTGTAGGAAAGGTCCAAAAAATCCGATCTTTGAGGCTGTCTGATAAACATTGTAACTTTTTTCACCCATTGAGAATCTGTTAGCACCTTAAGATAACCTTACAAAATGCACATAAAAGAATAACTTACTATCTCTGATCTCCATTTATAGACCTGGTTTTTCGACCAAGGCCTTTGAAACCGTGAGGATAGATCCAGTTCAAAGTCCTACGGTTCAGACTGTAACTACCCGGGATGGGGAAGAGATTCGAAGCGGCCAAGAATGATTTTCTGGGCAAGAGAAAACTAAATGTTAGGTGCTTAATTTGCATTAGGTGTGACTGTTTTGTGATTCCTGGACCTCCGAGGCCCGTAGCTGCCCCTCTGTGGTAGGTCTTTCTGTGGAGTCTCCTTAGGTACTGCTTTTGGGGCCCATCCCGTGGGAGATCATGACTTAAGGATGCAAAAACTCCCACCTTTCCATAACGTGTGCATTGCCAAATCCTGTTAAGAGGTCGAAGTTAAGGTGGTAGTTATGCAAGTGTGTTTACTGGAGACTTGGAGGACAGCAAAGTCCCTTAGAGCCGTACTGCTAGCCTGACGACTCGAGCTGAGGCTACGTTGAAGGAAAGACTGTAGAGTGCACGATCTGGTCACAGAGCTCCTAAGGAGGACGTGAAGGTCAAAACCACAGGAACTGTCCCGGTTTGAATCCCAGCTCGACTAAATTGTGACCTTGAACAGTTTAACCTGCTTTAGTGGTCTCCTTTGTAAAATGAAGATTCTTAGTACTGGAGGTACAGGGTTACCCTGAAGATCGAATGAGCTGATGTATTTAACGGTTGCACCTTATCACTACTGAATTATGTTTGGCATATCGAGTACACGTGGTAGATGCTGATTGGACACTAAGTTCTGGGCAGGATGGTGGCAGTTTTGGGGAAGAAAAAACTCCGACCGCATCCAGAAAGAGTGTATACCCCCGGACACAGCAGTTTTTAGATGGCTTTCCAAATGTGGGGATAGGTCAGAAATCCAGTGCCTTGGGAAAAGTCACGGAGAGCGGGTCTTTGCTTCTTCCTGACTACATAAGGTACCCTACTTGCGTGATGAGTGGGCGGGAGGCATAGTTAGTTCCCTTTAAAGGATTTTAGAGGCTTGTGCCTCGTCTAGAGTCAAGGGTGTTCTTGGTGGTGACCAGAAGACGAGGAAACAAACCTCCCAGTTCCCAGCCTGCTCGTCTCCCTTCTGTGCATCTGTTCTGTGGCCGGCATAGCTCAGGACAGGCACTAGGTGGCCACACCACGACTAATTGTTCTCTCACTCGGGGTATGCTGTCCCTTGTTCAGAAAGCGTTTGTATCCTTGTGACCAGCCATCTAAAGGTGACAACGTGCTATGAAAAGAGTAGGAGACAGAGGTAGCTTTGTGCAGAACTGATTAAATCACGAGCACGTTGCAGGCAGCCTCGGTTTCCCCACGTTAGACCCTCTTTGTCACTGGATGGTGCCCTCACAAGGGTATTGGAGTGTCCCCTGGTCTGCGACCGTGTCGTCAGAGGCTAGTCTCCTGCCTGGACAGTGTCCCGTACCTTGTCAAGTGACTGTGACAAGCAAATGGAAGTTGACTTAGCCTTTCTAGAACTCACGTTGCTATTCTATCCAGGTATGCCTCCTTTTCTAGCCTGAGGGACAGGAAGCTGCTTTTTGTGGTGGTGGTGGTGTTGTGTTTTT